TGTCTTGGGCGCACTTGTTCTTTTTTATAACTTTTATCGAGCTTAAAACCGTTTCCTCTAGACAGCTGTCCTGTGTTTTAAATTTTTTTTCCTGAAGACTATGTCAGCTATTCAGTTGATTATCATTTCAATGGTCATGAACTCAATACAATTTCCTTGATAAAATCAATTTTACGATTTTATTAAATTTTATTGTCATTATGTTACTGATATAAAGCAAGTGTATGGGTTTCTTTAACTTCGGTATAGAATCCAGGACCTTTAATCTCTCTTACAAACGCTTAATATCTAGACTGCCGGACCGTTATACAACAATACTAATGTCTAACCTCAATATATTTGACTCCCACATACAGAGTTGTGGATGCTCACTTCAGAGAAGTCCCATACTAGGATGAAACGTTTATCCAGTACTTCCAGTTTTTTCAATGGTGGTCTAGCTGAGATCAGTTCGCCAATGCCAGTAGAAACTTTTGATTTACTTCAAATTCATTCACTGAGATTTTACCAATAAATTCTTCTTCCTATTTTTATTTATTTATTTATTTATTTAAACACATATATATTGGTACAAAAGGGCACCAGGTACATATGCGCCACACAAAATAATGAAAGTAGGAAGAGAAGGGATGAAAAGATAAGGCGGACTGAAATGTACAACCAGAAGACTCTTTCAGTTAGGAAAGTTAGAACCATTCTTTATGTAGAAAGTAAAAGAAGGTTGCAGCACGATCGCCACTGGCTTCTATTCTGAGCCATATCTGATAACGTCTCTAGCCACTGTGTTGCACTATCTCTCGGACCCCAACCAGGGAGTCGTGAAGGACCAACAAAAGCTAGCCCTTTGCAGCTCTCTTTCATGCCACGACACCATGTCATACACTTCTTCTTCCTATTTAATGTCTTACATCAACTGGGTGCCCAAATACTATGGAACTATTCATTCTAATTTAGACGAAAGTGCTAATATAAATCAATGTTAATGTGTAGAAGAAAAACACACCGGATTAAGTTATTGTCAATGAAGTTACATGGACAATTTGATATTTTCTATTAAATGTCATCGAAGTTATAAATTACATTTTCTTTTTTAGTACTTTAGTGTTGTAACAGAAACTGGATCACTGTACTTTATAAGTAGAAGAATATTCTAAAAAAGAAACGACATTGTAGTTAGTTCGTTCCGTTCTTTAAGTGTTTTCAACTTACATAAAGACCACACAAATGAAATCGTTAGTAAGAATATTAGTAATGTTAAGCTGTACCATTTTCATCTAAATAAACATAATCTCATAGTTGAAATCGTTAGTGAATTGATGCTAGACCACCAGGGAAAACCTGGAAGCACTGGAAAACCATTTTGTCCTGCTGTGTGACTCCTCAGCAGTGCGCATCCATGACCCCGCCTCGCGAGATTCGAACCCAGGATCTACCAGTCTTGAGCCAAAGCACTTAACCGATAGGCCACTGAGCCGGTATGCAACGGTGTCAATGTCTAACCTCAACCAATTCACGAAGTTTGAGCAGCCGTTCACCGATTGTATTCAGTGAGTTGATTTCTCACAAATGACGTAGTTGAACTTCACTTGCCGTCCAATGCTTCCACGTTTTCCATGATGGTCCAGCTTCAATTGACTCATGATATCAACTATGAAAATACAGAAATCTCCCAAAAACCCTTTCTGATTCTAAGTATAATATTTTTAAAAGTTATTTATTTGTTAGAATTGTGAAATATATGTGTACTTTGTAAAAATTACTCGATCATAATGGCTGAAAATTTAGAAATTGTGGTGTGAACAGAGAAACAAAGAAGCCATGACAAACAACGGAAGCTGTTTTTGGGGAAGTTATTTCACTTAATTATAAGTTTGTTGAGTACTAAAATTTAGTTTTGTCCCTGGTTTATCATATAAATCATAAGCTTTCGTTTGATGTATGATTCACTGTTATGCCCTTTTTTGTTACGAAGTTATTATAATTTAAACACAACATTTGGTATTCCATTTCTTTACACTTATAACCAGTATGGGCATAATTGTATTTTTTTTAACTGCTTGTACGTTGTGGTAATGTTGGAAGCTGGAATAAATCAAATAGTGTTCCAGTTGGCTAGCCTTCCATCGCTTGTCAACCAATCAGGTGATAAAATAAATTTCGTCTCTCTAATCAAGGTATTTAGTGTTAATTCGTACTCACACATTCTAATGTCAAGGTTAAACCAATTAAGATGGTGGTTGAAGGTGGTCAAGAGGAAACTTTGGATCTACGTTTCGTGCTACTTAGCAGTCGTCAGCGAGGTGAACCTGTAATCCCTGACAGATTCTATCCCATATCACCAAGCTTCACAGTCAGAGACGTTGCCACTGAGCTATTCGGGCCGCGGCTGCGATCGATAAGATTCGATGTGCACTAAGAAGGACGTGACATACACGGCATTGATCACCACCCAGTGATCAGTCAATTGTTTAACGAGTTAACCTATCCTGTCAAGGCCTTAATGTAGATCGAGACAATTTCTTTCCTGTATATTATTGGATAGACTGATCAAGGAAGTAACAACTTGTAACCTCCTAAGATGAATTTTTATTACATATAAGTATTTCTTAATTGATTATCTTTTTTGATAAACAGCGTCAACTGACTAGAATTTTTCAAAATTCATGTTATTTTCTAAATTAACGTTTTAGTTGTGAACTAAATTCGGAATCAAAATTTTGATTGTCATACAGCTTATGGAAAAGTGTATTAGGTTGATATAAAAATGTCAATTCACTTGGTATTGTTTACTTGAATCTTCCCATTACTGTTTAGGACTTCAACTATTCAGTTTCTTGTTAAAATTTGTGCATACTGTGCGTATTGCCTTAAGTCACAATCGTTATGAGAAAAGATTGATGGCGACTAGCAGCGAAATCCAAGACACACGTTTCGTCTTGTTTGAGACTCGTCAGTTGGATATTCCTGCATCTTAGAGTCGATGTTCATCCCGGGACTCGAATAATAATATTTATGATCGCTGTAAAAATATACTTTCAAGAAAACGTTAGTATTGAGTTAAGCTAGAGAGCCGAGTTGATGATTCCATGTTTTCTAAAAAAAAAATCAATGAACTAATGTATATTTTACAGAAATAAATGAAATGATTCATTTGTATAGGTAAAAAACTAGTTTATCCTAAAAATTTCCAATATTGAAAATTTGACGTATACGAACAGTTTTCCCTACCAGTGTACAAATATATCTATTATGTTAAAAGCATCAAATTAAATGTATAGATAAATAGTCGCCCTCAAATGTCCTGGTACGCTCGAGAGTGGGGAGAGTCCGCTCTCCCTCTGCAAATGGTCACCCATGGCCACGCGTATATAGTCTCTGCCAGGGAAGTCTTACTCACTGACTTCTCATGGCGGGGGTGTTGTTTACGAAATTGAGAGGACGGAAAGCAAATGTATGGCACGTAACGTCCTCCTAGGGGAGTTGGAATACTCTGATTGCAAACCAATGATGCACATGAGCTCCAGTATCCTGAGGGAACAAATGACAAATAAACCAATCGTTGGTTACCGGCTATCATGGGACTGTATGTTCTCACGATGCTCAATCGCCTTGTGGATCAGATCTTTTGGTCAAAGGCTCAAGGTGTGGTCCCCCACTTATCTACTAAGACCTGATAGCCACCTGCTTGTGCAATGTGGTAAAGTTTTAATTCACTTTTTGTTCGAATCTTCCCATTGATATTTAAGACTGCAATTGATCAGTCTCTTGTTAACTCCTATCTATCTTTGCTTATAAAGCTTATGACTTCAAGCAATATCGAGGCAGTCCTTACAGGATTTAGATATTCTTATAAGAAGCTGATCAATTTAAGTTCTAAATACAAGTAAACAACACCAAATGAAGAAATCAATGTATCTATATCTATATAACACAACTTGACTTAATTCATTCAAGTAATCATTAGTATTCATCATTATAAACACATATCATTCATTTAATAAAAATTACATTTTATTTACAAATATATAAAAATTCATAAATATATTACTTATACCTTATTAATAAATAGTATATATACATTCAGAAGTGAATTCGTGGAGATTTCAGTATTTTTCAAAGTTGAAATCATAAGTCAATTGAAGCTAGATCACCATCGAAAACCTGGAAGCACTGGACGGCCGTTTCGTCCTACTATGGGACTCCTCAGCAGTGCGCATCCACGAACCCACTCTCGCTGGATTCCGCTCGAAACTGGTAGGTCCTGGGTTCGAATCCCGCGAGAGTGGGTTCGTGGATGCGCATTGCTGAGGAGTCCCATAGTAGGACGAAACGGCTGTCCAGTGCTTCCAGGTTTTCGATGGTGATCTAGCTTCAATTGACTCATGATTTCAACTTTGAAAAATATATACATTCATTTAAATAATTTTTAATTATGTCAAAAATGTATGGATGTGTTTCATAGAATTCAATGTTCAATAAATAATTAATTAAATACAATAATAACCATAGAGTAAACTATGTAGATTATAAAGGGAACAAAGAAATTAAGGTTTTTTTTTCAGTTTCCCTTTTTTATAACTGTACAAATAATGTATATATAAGGTACTTTTCTATATTGGTCAATTTCATCAATACAAGGGGGAGGGGTAAGGAACAATTCTTTTGGTTTCTATGCAATAAACAATTACACAATGGAATTATTGAAACGTCGAATTTTTTTTTTAAAAAAAGAAATCTCTTTTAAAATTTTTATAATTAGTTATATCCATATATATGCATAGTAACAACTAGAAGTCATTTTACATTTCACTCATCAAATCCATAGAACATTTTGTAATTGGATCGGTAATGTGTTTCTATTCAAATCGATTTTATTCATATTTTTTCCTCTTTTTTTTTTTAAAAAAAAAAGAAAAATGAGCTAAATTCAGTATGAATATAAATTGGGAGAAGTTAAAATGAGAGAAAAAAAGGGGAACCTTTTTTTTTCCTTTTTTTTTATAAAAAAAATCCCCATTCTAATTACATCATTGTAAATTTAAACAAAACTACCTTCGGCATTTAAAGGTTTATTTATGCTAGTATTTCCTTTATCATCATATATATTATGGGTATCATTCTTATGATCATTGATTAATGATGAATTTTTTTTTGGTGAAATCAATGTTACCATCTTTGAATGACGTGTAGTTTTAGATTTTTTCTCTTCTTCAATTTTTTGATTTGATGATTTGTTCATATCATTAGTATAGAGATTACAATTGGATAAATTATGGGTACATTCATTAGTTGTTGGGTAATTGGGTAATGAATGATTATTATTATTATTATGTAATATGTTACATTTATTTAATGTAGGCATAAGTTTATTATTATTATTATTATTACTGTTATTGAATATCATATCAGTATTATTATTATTATTAAGCTTCTTATTAGATTTGATTGTAGACATATAAAACTCATCAGTTTGGCATAAATTTTCACATGATGATATTTCATGATTATCAGATAGTTGAGAATGTGTCAATGGTTGTAATTGAAAAATATCTGGGAATATAGTATGAATATTACTACTATTATTGTTGCTATGACCACCACCACCAGCACCACCACTACTACTACTATTACTATTAATGTTAGTTGTAGTAGTATGATTTTGTTTCCCACTATTATTATTGTTTGATTTTGATGATTTCAATTGTGTTTTACAATTTAATTGATCATATGGATTTAAGAATGATTCAATCTGTTGTTGTTGTTGTTGTTGATCAGATCTCATCCAATTACAAAATAATGGTGAAGTTTTAGTTAATAGTCTATCATCATCACCACGATGAAATGATGTTAAAGTTTGATATTCATTTCTAGATGATATTGGTATATTGTGTGTAGGATCATTTCCACGCATATCACCTTGGGCTAGTTGGAAGCGTACTAAACGACTATCTATAAGGTGGTTAAGAAAAATACGTGAGATAAAGTGATAACAAAGCAATTTAAACATGGAATGAATATATAATGGATATAATACAAACTACATTTTTAAATCTAATTTCGTATAATGAACTTCAGAATTAACAATCATAACTTTCATAGTGAATAAGGATTGGTTGTTCCATCTTAGTATGAACTACCCTAGAAACTCGTATCTATAGCTTTTCATGTGGGAGTCAAACTCAGGAGTTCCGGTCTAGCACGCAAACGCAAACGGTAGTTTGTGACCATATTCTACTGACTGTGGTGGACAACTATCTCAAAATGAACATGATTTAACTCTACTGCTGAGAAGTGTCATATTAGGATGCAATGGTCGATCGATGCTTCCGGGTTATCAATGGTTTTTATTGCGTAAAAAACTATTCCATTTCATGATCATATAAGGAAAGGATAAGAGAAATATGCTTCAAAGAAGTAACTTATAGCCAAAGGAGTAGAAATATGCTTAATAAAATACAGTATAGAAGTGAAATTGTGTCATGATTATGATGATAATTGTAGTAATGATCACACTGAACATTCAATTAAAAGAGTTTCATGAAAACAGTCTGGGCAAAGATATATATATATATAATGTTTGTATAAAAATTAAGCTTGCTATGTTATAAACAGTTGATTCTTAATATAAACATTAAGATGACTTGAACACCGAGAGATTACTGGAAATCAACGGTTTGAAGAGATTTGCTTCTTCATGTTCTGAAACAAGTTTGGGATTCAGAGTGTATCTTATTTCATCTTTCAGCCATGATGTCCAATTTTTTCAATTGTAATTTTCGAATTAAAGAAATGATTGTCTCTATGACAATTGGTTTGAAATATCAGCTACAAACCTAAAGATTAACGTTGTCATTTAGAAGTCAATACAATACAAACAGTCTGGAACTAACGTAAAACATATCTGATTTGTTATTGTTTTCTTTGATAAATTTTTTTATTATTTTTCTTTGATTTAAACATAAAATGTAATTACATCACTTATAACATTTTCATGTAAAGATCTTAACCATATTGAAATCAAGACAAATGTTAATAAAAGTGAAAATTAATGGAAACTAGTAGAAATGATAAAATCAATAAAAAAACGATTAGTTGAAAGTGTGAATCAATTGAAGCTAGACCACCAGGGAAAACCTGGAAGTACTGGATGACCGTTTCGTTCTATTGTGGGACTCCTCAGCAGCGCCTATTCACGACTTCACCTCGTGAGATTCGAACTCAGGACCTACCAGTTTCTCACTCCAGAACACTTGACCGATAGACCACTGAGACGGCATCCCATGATGTTTAAGTCTAATTCCAACCAATCCAAGAAGTTGAGCAACCGTTCAGTAATATCATCAGTGAGTTGATATCTCAATAGGACGAAACGGTCTTCCAGTGCTTCCAGGTTTTCTATGGTGGTCTAGCTTCAAATGATTCGCGCTTTCAACTAAGAAAATACTAAATCTCCACAAAACCCCTTCTAATAATAAATAATAAATACATAAATAAATTATATATATATTTTACTATCAAGTTGTTGCCACAGAATCAATTTGACGAATATAACCCATAATTGGAATGACGGTGAACAGTTCTTTTCTATTCTATTTGAATTATATATGAAGCTAATTATTTATTCAGTCAACAAAAGATACATGGAGTACTAAAATGTTTTCTTCATTGCTTTATATATAATTTTATGACAATGGTATTCGAAGTTTATGCACACATGCTGAGATTAGTTTCATTTGTGAAATGATGAGTAAAATAGAACATTTATTGTAATAATTTTCATGTTTAAAGACACAAGCTATTGTGGGAGACAATACACCAGATTCCAGTGGAGGAAGACATCAGGATGAAGTGCTGGAAGTGGATAGAACACACTTTAAAGTAGAGCACACAACTGCGTCACAAGACAAGCCCTCACATGGAATCCTGAAGGTCAAAGGAGAAGAATAAGACTAAAGAACACATTATGCCGAGAAATAGAAACAGACTTGAGAAGAATGAACAAAAACTGGATAGAACTAGAAAGGAATGCCCAGGACAGAGTGGATTGGAGAATGCTGGTTGAAGGTCTATGCTCCATTAGGAGTAACAGGAGTAAGTAAGTAAGTCCCATGTTTAACCAAAGGCATTTGAACTGAATATTTTTCTGTTTACTCACTAAGGAAAACGATGCTTTAATTAAAATCCAAAATTTAAGATAAGTTTGATTCATTTAGTCATGGTGTCGTTATGTTCAACAGTATGAGACGCTGATTGAAGTATCTGGAGTAATATCAGAAGGGGTTTTGTCGATATTGTATTAATTTAAATAGTTGAGATCACTAGTCAATTAAAGCTAGACCACCACGCAAAACCTGGAAGCACTGGGCGGTCATTCCGTCTTATAGTGGGACTCCGCTGCACTATGCATCCACGAGTCCTAGTTAGAGGCAGTGGAGTTCAACCAGGTTTGTTGTGAGATAGTAGCTCACTGGACACAATGGCGGATGTATCGCTCATTTGCGTGAATCGGTCGAAGGAAGATATTAACACCGTTGGTTGTTGGCCGGTTCAGTGGTCTAGAGGTTAAGCGTTCTTGCGCGAGACCAAAGGTCCTGGGTTCAAGTGAATCGTGTGTGGAATCGTGTGTGAGCACTGCTAAGGATTTCCATACGAGTACGAAACGGCCTTCCAGTGCTTCCAGGTTTTCCATAGTGGTCTAGCTTCAACTGACTGATGATCTCAACCATTGAAAAATATCTGAAGTAAATTAACATTGAATATGAACTTTTCTGTCTATTCCAAAGCTTTTAAACTATTCATTGAAAGCCTGTTAGTAATCACCATATATTTATTTCATAACAAATAATTGATTCCTTGGTCATGAATGTATAAAATCTAGTGGATTTCTGGATTTAGTTGTTTAGTGGATAATGAGTTGGTATTCTAAGAGAAAGTTGTTGAGTTCAAGACCGAATGTGTACATCATTTGTTGGGATATTTGAACATCTAGCTAAATAGTCACAAATATGACTAAACAATCATCCTAGGTATCATTCTTAGTCATAATTCATGTATCGTAAACGATTGATTAAGTTTTAATTGTATTGTAATAAGTGTTTGAGTTAGTATTACCCAATAGATTTTAATTAGCGTGGGCATTATCTAACTATTTCTGAATTTATACTAGATCAAAATTGATTTCCAAAATATTTATTAAGTGAGTGAGACAAGTTGTGGGAGGTAAAAAAAGTTCTGAATTAGTCTCATATAAGTCAGTCAAAGTTTGGCATCAATATATAAAACGTATGGAACTAAAAGCCTTCAAATCGTTATATGTTGTTGGAAACTCATTGGTTGATAAATTGTAAGAAACCTCACCCATGCAGTTTTATTGATGTGTATTGATAGTTGTGTGTACATGAAAGCCGTACCTTGGTGGGCAAAAATGAACGATAAACCATATGCAATCTAATGACAGAGTGGGTTACAAATTAGATTCACTTCAACACTTTTGAGAGTTCTTTCAGACTTCTAAGAATACATCTGATTGAAGTGCACAGAAGAACAAAGAATGAACTGTCCAGTATTGCTTACTATGACACTTTGATAGCACAAATTGAAATAGCGCAGTTGATAATAAATCATGTGAACAAGTTATATATCCAGGTCGTTCTATATGAAAAACGGCTGTTTTATATAAGAATCCTATAAACAACGGGAAATTATCGTACTAATGTGAAACGACCTAATTTTTAGATGCAGTTTTTTAAGCATTTATTCAAAGCTTCAGTACTACAATTTACTTTCATTGGTCATTACTTCTATTGCTGATATTATCATCAAGTAGAATTTATGTACATATTCTTTTGGATTTCGAAGGATAATGGACTTCTTCCTCATCTTTGCCTACACGAACATCAATTAGTGATTAAACTCCATGACAAACCGTCACTCATATCACTGCATGTGGACAACTGTGAACTTATAGTCGAGTGCAAAAATGTTGAATTCTTGAAAAGAGAGTATATCAAGAACATGAGAGAATTTTCTAAAAGCTTGGCATTCAGGTCAATCAGCAATCAACAAACATGTCGAAATCGATGAAACTTATCAACCATTCAGAAAAACTATGGACAACTGTAGAACAAAGTATCATATCAAAGGGAGATACAATCAAAATAGAGAAGTAGACAATAACAAGTTACAAGTCAACAATAATGAAACAAGATCGATGTGTATAGGATAAGCTAAGTTATATGTGGATAAACTCGAACTCTTTACTTCTCCCTGATTTTTTTTACTGATAATGTTGTTCAGAAGAATAGTGCAACCTCTACGATGAAACTATTTAGCTAAGAAAGAATGAAACTCCACCAAAAGTATTGCGGACTTTAGAATCCTATGATTTATTTACCTTTTAATTTGATTAAGAAAATAAAAAAAACCTTTTTTATAAAACTTACAATTTTTAGAGTTTATTTCATCTTTATAATCATTGAGCTCTTCAAGACTAATAGCTGTTCGTTTCAATGATGTGAATGATTTAGTCATATCTGGTTCAGGTACTTTATTTTGACAATGAAGATTATTAGCTAATGATTTTGAAAATAGTTGTTCTGATTTTGGATTCTGTAAAGTTTGTCTTTCATTATTAGTTTTCATCGTTTTATTATTGATCTCATTATTTGGTGTCATCTCTTGAAATATTCTATTGCCTTCATCATCTTCATCATCATCATCATCTTGTAAACTATAATTCTGAAGAATAAAACCACCAGGTAGTCCAGTGAACGATGGATTAACACTTGAAACTGGTGAATCAAATAATCGATTATTTCCAACACCAACACAACTACTAGTAACACCAAATGTTGGTAATATTCTAAATCCATGTGATGGTGATGAATGATACATTGTAGTTGGTGTTTGCATACATTTTCGTTGATCTTCATGATTAGAAATCGGGGATTTACATAAAGTGGTTGTAGGTGACCAACATGCATTAGGATTTGCTATACAACCTCTTGAACGATTAATACCTGTATTATATATAGTGGGATAGTTACATGGAGTTGGGTAAACAACTGGAGATGTTGAACCACGAACCCAAGGAGCTGTAACAACCTACAATTTTTAAGTAGAGTAATGTAGGAAGTATTAGTTTGTGCTTTATGATCACAGCAAATTAAACTTATAGAATACAATAACTGTAAATATATTCATATGTGAACACTTAATTAGCTTTCTGTTTTAATAAATATTTCCCAAACACACAGCGAAGAAAATTGATAATTTTGAGAATACCCCTTATATCTTACTTACTTAGGTACTTACGCCTGTTACCCCTCCTCGAGGAGAATAGGCTGTACACTAGGATTCGCCATTCAACTCTGTTCTGAAGAATCCTTTCCAGTTGTTTACAGTTTTGATTCATCCTTCTAATGTCTGCTTTCGATTCTCGACACAGTGTGTTCTTCGGTCCTCATCTTTTTCGTTTCCCTTCAGGATCACAAGTTAGTGCTTGTCTCGTGATGCAGTTTAATGATTTCCTCAATGTGTGTTCTACTCACTTTCATCGTCTTTTCCTATTTCCCTCTTCAACTGGGAGTTAGTTAATTCTTTCCCATAGTAGGTTGTTGTTGACGGCATCCGGTCAACGGACATTTAGTGCCTTGTGTAAGCTATTGCCGATTGTAAGCTATTGCCGATTGTAAGCTATTACTGATGGTTCAAAACCCACACAAAGGAAGAGGGTTCTGCATGGGGTCATCACCCCTATACCGTAGAAAACAATCTTGCTGAAAAATACTAACCCCTTATATTTAATGAGTGCTAAATAAGAATTCGCAATAATTTCTAACTGCATCTCTAGTGAATTTAATCCTTTAATTTTACAAACGAGAAGGAAATATCCGTTTTGTTTACCATAATGTTTATTCACTTGAAAGATGTATATATACAACAAGTGATCTACTTTCCAGGTCTTTTAGTTTAAAATAATGGTGGAGAAGATTTGTAGCTCAGGTGGGTGATTTTGATGTAGGTTTGTTCTCTGAGCTGGATGGTTTCGTCGTGGAGCTTTCATCGTCCTTCTGAACGACATCATCAGCAAAAACTTCGGGTAGAAGTGAAGTGTTTGAATTTCTTCACATGTGATTCACAGGTTGTCCTGTGCACCTCGATGTCGATTGGTTCTTTATTGACAATGACAGATTTAAGGTCAATAAGAAAAAAAGTTTGAAATAATGTTTTGATATTTCTGATGTAATCTGTGATCTTATTTGTACAGTCTAAACTGAAGCTTTTTTTATAAGTAGTTGTTTCTATCTATTCCACTTTTCACTTGAACATTTATTTATGAAAAAAGTAGCATAGTTAGAAACATTTGAAGGTATTAGTCAGTATGACAAAATTCTCTTTACTTCATGTACAGATTCATAATGGGGCATGGTCTAAATGATCATAATGGTACTTTTTATATTGACTGAAATTGTTCTAAGCAAAGATGGATGGTGGCTAGCAATGGAATACAATATGCATGTATCATTCTATTTGAACATATCCAGCTGATGAGTCCCAAACAAGATGAAATGCACATCCTAGATTCCGCTTTTAACCACCAACCTTTTCTGCTTATTAGCTAATCTAATTGCTTCAAATCATGTAAATGTAATTTACTGAGACTGTCATTTGTTTCATATTAACTGACTTTGTCCTAAGCATCCCATAGTTCAAACAAAATTATTCAATTGATGTCGAATCACTTGCATTGTAGGGAATAAGAACACGGGTGGAGACAATAGAATGTATTTTGGCACAAATTACAAACTATCTTACTAAAGTGCGATAACCACACAGTAAATAGTTAATTTGCAAATTATCAATCAATTGACTCAATCTTGACCATCCCTTCTGTAAATACCAGTTCTTCGTTTCCGTTTATTATTGTCCATGCATTTTCACACCAACTGCGCTTAGTTCCCTTTCTTTCGTTATCGATCTTCTACTGAAATACATTCTATGCCTGCCCATCACCATATACTTCTTATGTGGATACAAGTAGCCCACACCACAGTATTACTATTATTGTCCTTATTGCCAAGGCGGTGTATTATTCAGTAGTATTTTCAAATGACCTCATTAGTTGCATGAAATTTATTGACTTAAATCTTTTTAATTACGAAATGAAAACATAAATGAACTATAAGTTTTTTGAAAGGAAAACATTGTTGACACAACATGTATTTCATTTTTGGACAAATCGTTGAACTAGTTAGTTTGAAGCAGTTTTATCATCAATGTAATTAATAGTGTCGTTCAGAAGGACGATGATAGCTCCACGACCAAACCATCCAACTCAGAGAACAAAACTCCATCAAAATAGTGCCACAAGTATATATTACATACATATACAAAAATTACAAGTTAAAAACTTACTTCTGTGAAAAATCCGTTGAAACCATTCAAATTATTTTGAGTTGGACTCATCGGTTTACCTGTTGATAATAAAAAAAGATAGGAATTCAGGATGAAATATGAAGGGATTTACTTTTATAGTCCTCTTTTTAACTTAGATTTCACTATAAATGTTAGGGTGTTATCTAAGCTTCATACAATGACGGACTTTTGATTCAGATATTTCGACAATTTCTACAATCTCAGAACAGGTCTGCAAACAAACTTACAATTCTCAAGGACTTCTGAGTTACATATTTAGTAACCATCACTACACATATTTTAAATGCAAAATGTATATGCCTAAACACTCTTAAAATACAACACTTTTATTCTTGGTAGTACCTATACAAAGGATGAATTAAGGTTGGAATTTGTTCAGTAATGATTTACACTTCACATTCTTGTGAAGGGATTTTACTTCAGGCTGCAGTTCCAGATTCAGTAAGCTTGGAATTGATACTTTATATTATAGGAGATTTGAACTAAATCACACTTTTTTCTTCATAATAATTAATAAACTAACTTTTACGTCCAATGGTGCAATCCAATATGAAAAATGTTCTAGTTATAATACCCGTCAATCTTTATCATTAATGAAGCATTATCATCCTAAGTATTCCCTCTTGATGAATTATTTTACTAGTAAATTTTCTAGAGTCGGAAACAGTATATCTTAACCTGTCCGTAAATTAAAATCATTACTATCCTTTTTTCTTTATATCGATGTTTAATTCCCTCTTAAAACTACCCTAAACTGCTGAGGAATCCCATAATAGGGCGAAACGGCCGTCCAGTGTTTCAAGGTTTTCCATGGTGGTCTAGCTTCAATTGATTCACTTGGTATTGTTTGTTTGAATCTTACCATTGATGTTTAGGACTTCAATTGATCAGTCTCTTATTGCTACATATATATGCATATGTGCAGGTACATTCAGCTGACGAGTCCCAAATAGGACGAAACGCTCGTCCTGGATTTTCACTGCTAGCCACTATCCATCTTTGTTATCCATTAGTTTTCTAAAAACTACGTTTCGTAATTTATTGCAATTATTATAGGACATAAAGAACACTACGCATAGATCAGCTTGATTATATACTATTGTTTATACAAGGAAACAAATTCAACCAGTATACTTATTGTGGGAATGATAATAATGATCTGTATACAAACGTAAAATTATTTTGCTGTCATTTATGATACTTTGCAAACATATTGGTAATTATTAGCTGAATGAACTGGATTTTGTTTAAATAGTAAAGGAATAAAATTTAACCTGTATTTCCCATAGATCCCATTTCAAGTAATTAGATATGGGGGGGGGGAGAAAAAATTACATTTGTAAGAATACAAAATTGATTACTGCGAGTTAGACTAGTTAGTTAAAGATGATTACATATACTGTGCATGTGTTTCATTGATCAATAATGAAAATAATGTTTTTCAATCGGATCTTTCCAATTACTTAGTTGGATCTAGAAGTTTTATCATTTTGGAACCGTTCTTAGTAAAGTATCACAACAACTACTAACATAGTAACAATAATATTAATTCTATGAATGAATTTATCATCAGAAGGGGTTTTGTGGATATTACAGTAATTTTAATAATTAAGATCATGAATCAATTGCATTCGGACCACCATGGAAAACCTGGAAGTACTGGACGGCCGTTTCGTCCTATTTTGGGACTCCTCGGCAGTGTGCATCCACGATCCCACCTCGCGAGATTCGAACCCAGGACCTATCAGTTTCGCGAGCGAATGCTTAACGTCTAGACCACTGAGCCGGCCGGCATCCAACGGTATTAATGTCTAACTTCAACCGATCCACGGGCCACATAATAGGAAGAAACGGCCGTCCAATGCTTTCAGGTTTTCCATGGTGGTCTAGATTCAATTGATTCATGATCTCAGTTTTTAAAATTAATGAATTTATTGTCTAGTTATATAACATTCTTTTAAGTTTTTATTGTCTTTGTTAAGGTTACCTAAACTAAATGATAAATGAACGTAACTGTAGGGCCTAATACTATGTCAAGCCTAAACGTGTTATTCTGGATTTTAGACAGACCAGTTAATTTATTCTTCTTAAGCTATTATCCACATATTTCGGCTTTGTCAATCATTTTCTCATAACTTCGAGTGCCTTCGTATGAGTGTATATATGTGTGTCACTTACACTATTCATCGCATCTCTTTAGCTTACTTTCTATCTGACTGCAATAATAAGTCATGCTATGTCAAACGGAGTAGGCACACTTGCCTTCTCTGCTCTTCATCTTAATGTCTAAGTAAACGGGTATATGAAATAACATTCTTATCAGAATGGTGGTTTACTACAATCTCCACAATCCACCATTCTGATAAAAGTCATTATGTGCTCACTAGTGACTGGTTTCAAGATGGATTTCCTGGAGTTCTAGTGAGAATATTGACCAATGGAGTACAATCCGTGTAAGGTGTGAAACAGTTATCCAACTCAGACAGTGAATAAAGGGTTGAGCTAGATTATGAATCGATTGAAGTTGTACATTAGCTTCATTGAATGTTGGTTCAGTGGTGTAGAGGTTAGGAGTTCGCGCGTGAGACTGAAGGTTCCGGGTTCATGTTCCGTGTGCGGGATCGTGGATGTGTACTGCTGTGGAGTTCCCTACTAAGATGAAAAGGCTGTCCATTGTTTCCAGGTTTTCCATAATAGTCTAGCTTAGATTGACTGATGAATTCAACCATTAAAATTTAATATTAGGTAGTAGATATAATTTCAAAAGTTCTGTTAATTGGGTAAACATATAGTTATTGTTTGAAAGTGTGAAATATCGAAAACAGAATCCATTCGTTTCATTTTAGCGTGAAAAGTTAACCTTATTTCACCTCTCTTACACTTAAGTTTGTTTACATTTAATTTTGTCAAGTCATCCAATTAACTTATTTAACAGACAGTAATTATTCGAACAGTAACATTTGTATCACCTTGTTATTATTATCGTATTCAGTATGAACACATATAGGCTTGGTCACGCGTGACAGCCTACGCAAATATCCCTTTTTCTAGTTTAAATGTTGGTTACCTAAATAGTATGATGAATCATTAGCTTTCTCATATATATGGGCTTGAATCTTAATTTAAATCTTCATCCGATTCTTTATTCGACTTTTAATTCACCTCTGTATTCGGTCGCTAACATTATTATTTCTGCTCGAATTCAGTTGAATTGCTTGTGGCTTATTGATTTGTTCTGTCCAGTGATAGCCGGTGCTTCGTGTTACCCTATGAAATTCATACATCGTTGGGGTTTATATAACAACGATTATCAGGGCGATCGATATATTTAAAGGCTTAGGAATTATCTTGAAAATAATCCACTAAAACCTCTCTGATGATTTAAACTTGTAAGCCAAGTTAACACGGTTTTTTATAAAAGATCACGTCGTCTATTAGGTCTGTCATATAGTCTTAACTTAAATGATGTTGGTTTCATGTCTGAGCTTCAAGAGACGTCCCACTCAAGCTTCTACCAGATAATCATTATTCACTAGAACCAAGGGTGATTAATAACTACTAAATAGTCTATGTAATAATCACTTACATAATAACTCAACTATCAGATTTTATTATTATTCCTGCAGTCCATTAAATTGGAAAAGGCTTTTGGTAATTCCAAACTAATTTAAAACTTCAGAATACAAAGGACTTATTAATAGTCAAATTATCATTCTATGTTGGGTAAATGTGGGGATGGCTCCTAGTGAACTCAAGGATACTCTAGGAAGTTCTAAAATAGCCGAAGGCATTCCATCTAATCATCGTTTAGAAGAATATCCAAGAATTTCGATATGTAGCTTTCGGATTTAACAAATGCTAAAAATCACTGCATGAGGATTGGACGTTTGTAATGATAATTTCGCTTTTAATAAAACTATAAAAACCCGAAAGTTTTGTATCGTATTTGACTGGGTGGAAAAAGATTTTTATTCCGCTTGTCTTCTAACTTGCTACTTAGAAGGTTCAAGCGTTCAAAAATGATTGAGTTGTACGCGGTATAGCAAAAATTCAAGGACTAGATATAACAGTATCCCTATGATATTATATTGTACATAATGAAAATATTAAAAAATGAACAAAATAAATGAAGAATAATCCAATTTGTATTGTTTGTTTGAATCTTCCCATTGATGTTTAGTACTGCAACTGGTCAGTCTGTTATTGGCATATATGCATACTGTGCGCATTGCTTCGATAATGTCTAAATTCACAAGCATTATAAGCAAAGATAGATAGTGGCTAGCAGGTGAATCCAGTTTGACGCGCGTTTCGTCCTATTTGAGTGGATAACGTTATGGCGTTTGATGCAAAAGGTACTGGGTTCGAGTCTCAGAGTGAACATCAACTCTGAAATTCAGGTACATCCAGCTGACGAGTCCCAAATACTGGATTCCAATGCTAGCCACTATCCATCTTTGTTTAAATGAAGATTAGTTTCTCAATTTTTCCCCAATAAAATGTAGTAAAACATTTCATCAAGTAAAAATCTCAGTAAAATTCAATTGGAAATCACTTTAGAAAAAAACAAAATCGCTTCTGTTGTGGTGAACAAGAACACTGGTGGGGACAATCGAATGTATTTTAACACATTACAGAATATCTCATTAAAATATGAGAACCATATAGTGAACATTGAACTTGCAAAATAACAATCAATTGTCTCAATTTAACTATTTTTTCTGCATGTATCCGTCCATAGTCTCCGATTATAATTGTTCATGCAATTTTGTACCAATTGCGTGCTGTTCCCGTTCTCTCCTTATCGATCTTTTACTGAAATACATTCAATGCCCGACCATCAACATATACTACTTATTTGGATATCAGTAACCCACACCACATTGTTAGTTTTTCCTCTTGTTTTCTTTTCTCTTTTATATCGGATGTTTGTTTTTTAATTCCACTTACATTTTACAGGTCAATCAAGTTATTTCATTTTTATTTCAGTTTCTCCTTTTTAATTGTTCAATTCATCATAAAGCTTTGCGTTATGCTTGGTTATTTTTTTCTTTTCCTACCTGATACTTTGTGTTAGCAACATGGAATTAAAGTAGTTTTCTGTATTTGAAGACGATTTTTATTGTTTCTTTTGCATATTTTAAGTGCCGGCTTAGTAGTCTAGAGGTTAAGTGTTTGTGCGTTAAACTAACGATCATAGGTTCATGTTCCGTTTAGATTGTGAATCAGCATTTATTGCAGAGTTTCATACTAGGACGAAACAGTTGCTTAATGCTTTATAGTTTTATATAGTGGTCTAGATGTTATAAAACTATGGTAATTGAACAATCTCTATAAACCCCCTGTAACTAATTATTTTTAGGTAATTAAGAAATTTATGTTACCCTGGTTTTTATTTTTTGATGAAACATAATATGAAGTAATAATGGATAAGTCAACAGTTTTCTATAACGTAAATCATCACTGATTTGTATATTGTTAGTTCAATAAATACACGGAGGTACTAGTGTTGATAATTACGAAAACAAATAAACAAACGATATCTATGGAGCAGTGGAAACCATTCGTGAAGATAACTCATTGATGAAAATAACTCCTTTTAGAATAAATCAAGCGTTTCATTGAATACCATGAAAACATGTATTCTTAATTTAACTGTTGACCTTCAGTACTCACCAAAAGATAGAATACGTGAGTCCTCCTAAGATTATCGTTTACTGATTCATTTTCGGATAACTGCTATGAAAATAATTTTGAAAAAAAAACAGTCTGTTGATATTATTTCCCCAGCACATCTAATTTTGAAAACGACGATACAGCTGGTAGGCCTCACTTTAGATGGGATTTCCGTGTTGTTCTAAACAGTACAAATGATTGTAAGACAAGTGTATTACTGCAAGTTGGGATTATTTTGAAGGCAATTCTTCTGTATAATATGGTCTTATGGTCACCGTTTGTGTGTTTATTGGACGTACTGGTATTAAAAAGCAACATTTCTGAAAACTTACTAGTGTCAGATAAATAAACTACCATCACCCACCTATTATCCTCATTGAATTATGTATTTAGCAGACACCTAACATAAGAATTAGTTCTGTGTGTTAGGGAGAGTAATAGTAATGCCTGTTGTTTTTACTGATTTGGATATAAGTGGAAAATGGCACAGCATCAATTGTAACTGAAAAGGCAATATCTCACATATTCATGGTGAGTAAAATAATAGTTTTATATATGACTTAGCTTCATATTATTGTTGTCAACTAACATACAACTTAGGTCTGTAGATTCCTGAAAACTATATTCAACCACTAAGACTGATCAAACATGACAGTGACTGTCATTTAGTGATCAATCAACTATACTGTAATATGGTAAGCAGAGATGGATAGTGGCTAGCAGTGGAATCCAGGACGCGTGTTTCGTCCATCTCTGCTTACCATGCTTGTGAATTAAGGCTATATCTAGGCATTACGCACAGTATGCACATATGCCAATTAGAGACTGACCAGTTGCAGTGCTAACACATCAATGGGAAGATTGAAACAAGCAACACTAAATGAATTTCTACTGTAATATGTTTTGAGTCTAGATCTGACAAGTATACCCCTTATTTAATTACCTATTATGAGCTTAGGAGATCAAAATTGCAAGTTATATATATATGATTTTAATGAAACTTTACTATCTCCACAACCCTATACTGCCAAAAAATGTTACTTGATTTTTATGCGACCAACACTAACAAAGTTTTTACATGTTAGTTAAAGAAAAGTGAATCAATTAATTGAGCTTACCCACAGCGAAACCTTCATTTGCTTTTGAATCAGGACCATCACATGCTAAACTTTGTTCTAATGGAATATTTCGTATTAATAAACGTCTATAGCGTACAAGTAGTAGGAGAACAATTGTTGTAAGCAATAGTAAAATAAATACAGTTGATAAAATAACAACCATTGTTTTATCAGATATTCTTGCCTGCCCTGCTGATGTCCATGTTCCAACTTTAACATCTGATTCAGAATCATGTTCATTTGATGGGAATAAATATTGTTGTGTTTCTATTCTTCCAGGTTGTCGGTATTCTTTAGTATTAATTCGATTTGAGTATAATATTCCATTTGAGATATCTGCATTAGATCCTACTTGACGAGCTACACGAATAACCAGAGTGGTGTTTAAACTATCAGGTTTTCCTAAATCATAGGCTAATATACGTAGCATATAAGCCCTAGGACCATCAACATTTAATGGTGGTAGATTCTCACGAAGATAACAAATACCTGCAGTTCGATCTACAGCAAACGGATAGTCAGCATTTGAAGATTTACTTTCTTGGTTCATTTGTGAATTCGTATCTGTAGTATTTCTATGATTTAATTGACTATTCCTTGGAACAGATTCTGCAAAATTCCATGAACCCAGATCATCTTCAACCTGAAGTAATTTATATTCAATCGTACCATTTTCACCTAAATCTGGATCAGTCGCACGTATTGTAAATATCGTATTTCCAGCGATTAGCTGGTCTGGGCTTAGCATAAACTCTACATGATTCAATGGACTGAGTATTCTAGGTGCATTATCATTGTGGTCTAATACAGTTATGAGAACCGTTGCCGTTGCTGTGAACTGAATGACTTCATTTGTTGTTTGTCTTTGATATCCAGCTATTTTAGTTGGTATGGATCTGGGGTTATCCAACGCTAGAACCACAAATTCATAGTGCGCTCGTCTTTCACGATCTAGCCTTCCCTTAAGATGAATAAGCCCACTTCTTGGGTCAATTTGGAAGTGTGTGGTAATCTCAAGTGCTTCATCGTACAGATTCTGATTGTTGGAAGACTTTGTAACTTGTTCTGCAAAATTTCCATCATTTACTGGTTCTTTATTTCGATTATTAATTCCAACTGCTAGACGATAAGAAATACGTGCAGCTTCCTCTTGATCAGCATCAACAGCCCAAACTTGTCCAACTTTAACAAGATCTAATCCCTCTTCAACTTCGAAATGATAGTTAGCTTCTTGAAAAACAGGAGGAGAATCATTCAGATCATCAATAATTATACGAACATTAGCAGTTCCTGTTAATCTTAAAGATTCATCACATTGTCGTTCACTAGTTCCATTTAGAAATGTACAATCTATTGCATGTACCTGAAATATCAATTCATTTATAGCTTCACGATCGAATGGTTGAACAGCATAAAGCATTCCATTAAATTTATCTATCTGTATTGAACCACTTGGATTAGACACCAATTTATAAGTAACACTTCCATGAATTCCTCCATCTTTATCACTTGCATGTACCATACCGATAGGATATCGTTCAATTTCAGAAGGATTGATACTATGTTCGGATTTTATTCTTGGATGATTTTCTGGTAAATGAAATGTATATTCATTATGATCAAATACAGGTGAATTATCATTTGTATCTTCTATTTCAACAAATATATCTGCTTGTGATGTTAAAGAACCACCTGGCAACTCATTATGTTGATTATCCATACATATAATTGAAAATTTTATAAATGATGGTTGCTTATCATTAAACTCTCTATCTAATGAAGAGATTGACATTAATTTATACATTTTAGTTAATGGTTTATTTTGATTATACCAATCGATGAAATGAGTTTTTGAATCAATATTATTGGAACTATAAAAATTGTTTCTAGGCCAAAATGATGTCGATGGATCATCTAATCGATCTAAATGATGATTATTGATTTCTTCAAGTAAAAATCGACTATCATTTGTTTTACATAAAATATCAGATTGTGTCAATGTGGAATCTTTATCAATTACAGTAATTTGTGCTATCATTGATCTTTCTAAATTTTCTATTATTTTACCCCATATTTGTTGTCTATCTGTATTATATAAATTTAATTGATTAAGAGGTCGTGTAGGTTTAAGATATGATATAAATATCTCTGGTGGATGATCATTCACATCAGTTATCAGAATAATGACAGGTACCTTAGTAACTAAAGGTGTTAACCCATTATCATATGCTTCTATAAAAAAATGTAATTGATCATTATTAGAAGACAAATCATTATTGTTTATTGATTGATGTAAATGAAAATTTGATCCTAATTTTGATCCGCTAGTCATTTGATTTTGTCGAGCTATTGAAATAGCTTTAGAAGTAGCTTGTTGAATTTTTTCTTTAGATTGACGTTTAATAATAAGTCGACCATAAACAGTACTATTATGAAGGTTCTCTTGAATATTCATTACATCATTAGGCTTTTCATAAGGATATTCTATAGAAAATAATTCAGCAGCAATTAATTGACTTTCTGTAAGACTAATTCTATCTCTTTGACCTGTAATTATATTAGCTTCATTTTGATCCATTTGACCTGGTATACGAAATTTTACTATACCATTCTCTTTTGTATTATCTTTATCTCTAGCAGAGAATTCAAAGATAATATGACCACCAGGATCATTTTCTGATATTCTTCCAGTATAAAATTCTTGATTAAATTCTGGTGAATGATCATTAATATCTTCAATGATTAAACGAATAGGAAGTTTACCCATTTTTGATGGTGAACCACCATCATATGCAACTAAAATAAAATGATATTCACTTCGTTGTTCTTTATCTAATTCACCATTATTTATAGTTTCAATTGTTCCACCACTATTTCTAACTGGTACTAACCATAAACGATTCGATTTATGATCTTGAAATAATCCAACTTGTTGAAATTCTTTATGAATTCGATAATTTAAATCAGTATTTATTAATGGACCTATTTCAAGTCGAAAATGAAAAGCATCTTCACCTTCTAATCGATAACCTTTAATACTATTTACACCTTGATCTGGATCTATAGCTGTTGGTAATAGAATTCTTATTGGTTTATGATCAATTCTATGCTTCATATTTGATAGATCATCTTTTTTATCAATTATAGTTGGGGTTTCTGGTATACTAATTATAAATTCATTTGTTTTACTATCTAAATTAGATTGAACTTCTTTAAAACTTGGTGCATGATCATTTATATCTTCTAAGATCACTGTGATCAGATCAAATGATGGATTAGCGGATGAACCATGTATGATTGATAATTTAATGATACAATCATTATTATCAATATTATTATGATTATTTATTTGTATATTATAATTTGATCCATGATGATTTAAATTATATTCTGGAAATTCAATACCACCATTTGTAATGGAGACTGCAGTATCTGGTAATTTTGGATCATTTGGACATAGGATATCTCTATCGGGTGATTGTTTCACATATAAACTATGTTTAATATCATCTATAGCAAACCAATTAGCTCCTTGCATTACTGAATTGCCAATAGCTAATAAATAATCTGTATTTTTATCATTTTTATGATGTTCAGTCGGTGAATAACTTGGTCCATATAAAAAATTTATTAGATTTGGTATAATGACAGTACCAATTGGAGTATTCTCTTTAATACGTATGATACGTGTTGTTTGAGCATGGATATTAATCGTAAGTAGGACTGTTAAGATGAATGATATGTAAATATAATGATAACAATCAATCCCAATTGATGGTTGCATCATATATATTTGAAAGTGGATTATTTTCAGTAACCGCTTTCTCTCTTTGTGTGTGTGTGTGTATGTGGTATTTGGTTTACTTAATAGATAGACATTTCCTAAGACTGAAATAAAACATTAGAAAAACAACAAGAAATAAATCAACATTATGTTTAGTTACCAAAGTCTATTTCTAGGTGATATTGAATTACGTAATAATGATCAATTAATTCACACAATTCAATAAGTAGTATGAATATCGGGGGGAAAACATTATGATTAGTTAATAAATGCAGTGTACGCTATTTCATTATGAGATCGTTCAAATTGTCTGTTTAGGTCATCATGTTCGATGGATTGAGTTTGAAGATGCCAGAGGTATTTTGAGTTTGACAACGCTTTAACCAGGAACACATTCTATTATGAATTGTACCCACCTAGTGAAATCAAAAGTCAGAATCGAGAGGGTTCGAAGATATATTTGAAAGGCTATCAATATATCGAGAATCGACTGATCTAAGCACGTTAGTGATTGAAAGTGATGTTGAGCACGACATTCCCACTCGTGATCTGGTGCAGATGAATGACCGAGCTCCTTCAACTAATATGGTCAGTATCCAATGTTGAAAACTTACAGAGCTATTGATTTTGTAGATTTATTTACCGCTACAAAATTAAGTAAGAAGATAAATATACCAAAAAGACAAAATGGGTCTTGTATTCTTTTGAACTAAAGTGATTCATGATCAACTTATATCCATATATTTCCATTAATAATACTTGTATGAGTTCTCCATATGGATGTAATCTGTAACACGATTTTGCATACTCGAATGTATGATCGAATTTGTATTTGCACTAATATTTCTCACACTCTATCTGACCCATATTTATTCTGATCGTGAATCTTATAATTTGACTTAATGTATAAACTAGTTCAAGTCAAGATTTCATATAAGTAATGAATTAATCTAATAGATATTACATTCAAATTGAAGTTTTATGGAGTGGAGAATTTAGTTCTTAATGAAAACATTGATATTTTAACTATACATTAATTATAATTCATTTATTTAAATTCAATCCTGTTGACTATAAAATTTTCCCATTTTGACTCATTGTGATACATAACCCTTCAAGTATAAATCCAAAACTAAACAACTAGTAATCCCCAGCAATAATACACCACAACTCATAAGTTAATTCACTTAGTATTGTTTGTTTGAATCTTCCCATTGATGATTAAGACTGGAATTGATCAGTATCTCATAAGCATATTGTGCGTATTGCCTCGATATAGCCCTAATTCACAAGCATTGTAAGCAAAGATGGATAGTGGCTAGCAGTGGAATTCATGACGCGAGTTTCTTTCTATTTGGAACTCCTCAAATGGATGTACCTGCATCTCAGAGTTGCTGTTCACTCTGGAACGTGATGGCATTTAAAGCGAAAGGCATTGCGCATTGCCATGATATAGCTCTAATTCACAAGCATTATAAGCAAAGATGGACAGTGAATTTAAACTTTACCCGATTACACGAGCAATTGGCTATCATGACTCAGTAGCTGAGTGGATAACACGACGGTTTTTGGAGCGAACGCTACTGGGTATTGAATCCTGGAGTGAACAATAAATTTGAAATGCAGGTACATCCAGCTGACGAGTCCCAAATTGGACGAAACTCGCTTACTGAATTCCACTGTTAGCCACCATCCATCTTTGCTTATCACCAGTTAATGTTTTGTTTTTAGTAAAAGAAAAGCTATTTATGGAAAATTTATTGAATACACAAATGCAAATTCATTAATCTCATATTTACAAACACATTCACTAACTGATTACCGATAAACACACCATAGTAATCTATATATTATAATACAATCCTAACAATTAGATTCATTTCAAACTATTATCATTTATCTGAATTATGGGTTATGATTTTTGTTGTCAACCCCTCGACTACTCTATCTTGTTGTTGCTATTTGAACATACAGACAATTCACTGTTTGTTTTTTTTTTTAAAAAAAAGAATATTTTAAATGTCATACAATTTAAACAAACAAACGAATGAATAAGACAGAAAATGATTTTGCTTTACAACTAACATTTATACTACTTAGTTGACATTTCATAGTTTAACTGATTATGCTTTATAATAATATAAAATTCATCCCCTTCATTCATATTGTGGTGGTTATACTTTTCAGTTACAAATGGGGGGATTATTTATTTCAATATTCAAATGTCATTATTATTTTGTCACGAAAAAACCTACACTACTTTTTTCTTTTTTTCGTTTAGATTTTTATAATGATTCCAAGTTACAATCACCTTTCTATTTCTATTTCTGTTTTATGTAGTTGAGATCATGAGTTATTCAAAGCTAGACCACCATCGAAAACCTAGAAGTACTATACAACCGTTTCGTTTTATTGTGGGACTCTTCAGCAGTGTGTATTCACGATCTCGCCTTAAGAGATTTGAATCCAGGACCTAACAGTTGGACTAAAATTCTACTAATAAATTCGCATTTCAGTAGTATATAAACACTTATATATATTGAACTACTACAAAATAGACAACTTTTATTTTATTAAAACACCACTGAAATTTTTTGTTCATTCCTACGGAAAATTTTGACATTTTTCAAATTTTTTTTTGTTTTTTTTGACATTTTAAAACAAAAAAAAAAGAAGGATGACATTCAGTTTATTTCCTAATTTGACATTTAAGTATAAACATGAATATTGAAATAGTGTACAATGAAGAGAGAAGTGTAGTCCATATTTTTTTAAAATAAAAGACATCAGTTGAAGTACATTTTTTAATTTTGTCTAGAATATGCGAAAACATAGAAATGGGATATATACTTTGAATGTATTGTAGAATGATAGAGTTCAATAAACGAAGTCTCATTGATATTTAATCAGTGATAGTTGATAATGTAGTTAACAGTGTTGTAGAATTCAATTAGTTGTTGTACAGTATAGTTGATATCATGAGTCCATTGAAGCGCTCACGCGGGAGACTGATGGGTCCTGGATTCGAATCTCCCGAGGTGGGATCGTTGATGTTCACTCCTGAGGAATCCCAAAATAGGTTGAAACGACCGTGATGTGTGAATTATAGAAATTACATACATACTTGGAAAGTATTGTCGAATGATAGAGTTCAATAACAGAAGTCTCATTAATATTGAATCAATGAAGGTGAATAATGTAGTCAATAGTATGCGAAACGGATTTTGTGGAGATTTAGTATTTTAATAGTTGAAAACGTGAGTCAATTAAAACTAGACCACGAGGGAAAACCTGGACGACCGTTTCGTCCTATTATGGGACTCCTCAATAGTAGATTATAAAGTTTTCAAAGTTGAATTTAAGAGCCAATCAAAGCTAGACTAACAGTGGAAACCTGGAAGAACTAAACATCTGTTTTGCCTCTGTATGAGACTCCTCCCGCACTAGGGACTTTCATGAAGGATCTTTAGTTTCACATGATAACGCTTAAGCTTTAGACCATTGAAGTCAATTATTTTTTTTATCATAAGTGTTTATTGCTGAATCCATTCATGTACAGACAAACATACAACCACCTTCACATGATATACAATGGACAATGGAAGTTTGTTGATTTCATTTAATTTGTTCCTTTACACTGAATTTACGTCAATTCAAAATGGTTTACATTACGTACTTCCTTCAATATTGAACATTGATAATATAAAATATTTCGTAAACAATTAATGATTAGTTGAGATTATGAGTTAGTTGAAACTAGATTATCATGGAAAATCTTGGAAGCACTGGACGGCATTTTCGTTCTGTTGTGAGTCTAGAGGTTAAGCGTTCGCTCGCGAGACCGATACATCCTGAGTTTGAATCTTGCGAGGAGAGATCGTGGATGCACACTGCTAAGGAATCCCACGCTAGGAAGAAACGGCCGTCCGTTGCTTCTAGGATTTTCATAGTAGTCTACGTTAAATTGACTCATGATCTCAAAGATTAAAATTATTATAGTATCCACAAAAACCCTTTTCTGAAATTAAGGATTAGTTGTTTGTCTTTTTAATTTAACCAGTAAAAGTATTTTATTCAAAATAGTCTTTTTTGATGTTATTGTTGTTGACATTTACACATTTAATAGTTGTGATCATGAGTCAATTGAAGCTAAACCACTATGGAAAATCTGGATACACTAGACGGCCATTTTATCCTATTGTGAGATTCCTCATTTATTTGATTTGACTTATTAGAAATTAATTTGTATAACGTAGGTTACTTACTTACACCTGTTACTGTTATTGGAGCATAGGACCGCCCACCAGCATTAGTATAATGTTGAATTGGGTTTGTTCAAGAACAAATGTTTCGGTTTGTGGTGCCCTCAAATGCCCTGGTACGGCAGAGCGTGGAGAGAGTCCCCTCTCCCTCTCGAAACGCTCTGACATGTCCACGCGTACATAGTCTCTGCCAGCGAAATCCTACTCATTGCCTTCTCGTGGCATTACTGTTGTTTACGAAATTGTGAGGACGAAAAGCGAGTGTCCGGGTTTTTGGACACGGAAATTTCACCTAGAGGGGGGGGGTTAGAAAACCCTAATTCCAAACCAATAGTGCATATAAGCACCACTATCCTGAAGGAACAAATGGCGTAGGAATCAATCGTTGGTCACCGGCTACCATGGGACTGCATCTCTTCACGATGCTCCACTGCCTTGTGGACCAGATCTTTAGGTCAATGGTTTCGTGTTTGCCCTCCTGAGAATGACTTTATGATTGAATACAGATATCACAACTATTTGATCTGTAGATAATGTCAAGTATAGTTAGACTTTTTTAATGTCGTTCATGTACATTCTATGATACAGCATAAAAACGTAACGGTTTTCATGTAATTTTAATTCTATTCATTTACATATAAACGGGAACCTTAATGTGATCTTCAGAAAGTATTCTACGATTATTTTGGTCAGGAAAAGAAAAATAAATAGCTGAATAATATTGTTTCAAAAAATACATATGAAGCTTATCAGAAAATGTGGTATCTTTCAAATAGACATAACGATTAACTTAATGAAGTACAGTGAAGTCTTGATTTCAATTAACAGTAGCTACCAGTAGAACCTTGAAAAATATGTTCCTTCCTATTTAAGATTCTTATTTTATAGAAATATGACCCCAGTGCTTACAGACACCAGACTGTCACTTGCTTAGCCATTTAGTAACTGTATTAACCACTTGGTGCAAAAATCAAAAATTTCTGTTTCTCTTACTCAAACCTGAGAGATTTCTCTCATTGATTAATCAGAAAAAATGGCAGTTGTTTATTGATTGTTCTGACAATAGTGAAAGGTTGATATTATTCTGAACAATTTGTTGCTTCAGAACTGGCCTGCGTCAATACCTGAACTAAGGATAGGAAGTGAAGTAGTCAAACGCATCGACAACTTAACTTAACTTGGAAGTCTGATCAGCCCTAATGGGTAAGTACCTAACGAAATCTCTACACGGATACAAAAAGCTCGTTTGGCTTTTGCCAACTTACGTTACCTGTGGCGAAGACGAGATATCCGTCTATCAATTATGGGACGAGTATACTGCGCAGCAGTTTGCTCTGTTCTACTTTACGGCTGTAAAACACAGACATTAAGAGTAGAAGATACTCATAAGTTACTAGTATTTGATCACAGATGTCTTGGAAATATTGCTCGCATCTGCTGGGATCACCGGGTAAGTAATAGTGAGGTTAGACATAGGGTATTAGGGAATGATGGTTAATCAGTTGATGAGGTCATGAATGTTCATCAACTGAGATGATTGATCCACGTATTAGGTATGCTTGAACACCGATTACCACAACGCGCTATGCTGACTAGTATTGGTGATGGTTGGAAGAAAGTTCGGGGGGGGGGAAACAAAACATGGCATCAGTGATTGAAGTCACTGACTTCTACTCTTAGCCATTTTGGTAGATGCAGACTATTTGGTTGGGGTCCGCTTGACTATCGTAATCAATGTCTGGGGACTATGGGTGACATGTCTTAGAATCAATCACAATGAAGTAGGTGTATACACTCTTTGTCTTCACTTAAACCATGAAGTTAAATTTGCTTTGCATCTTTCTTTGTACCATCTAATTCCTTCTCCTTCAATAGAATGACAATGTTGTATATGAATGAATACTTTAAATAATCAATTCGATAAAATGTCGTATTTAAAAACCAACAGTAAACCTAATTTATTCAATATACTCTGATCTATTCTAATGTATTACCATGTTCCTATTTTTCATGTATTAAATGATTTACAATAATCTAGTTGTTCTATAAAGTGAGACTATACAGGAAACAATAGCCGGCATATAGAAATAAATGATTGAGGATTCAATTCATTTATCTAAATATCATTTAAGTCAGTCTAAGATATAAAAAATTTACTCTACCATGTTTCTTTATGGTCCCCTTTACCATAGTTTCTGTCTAGTTCTAAGATCACGAATGATTTGGATGGTAATTTATTATCTATTTTAATGATGATTTTTTTTAAAAATAAATACATTCCCATATGGTACATTATGATGAATTTTACTGTTTTCATTTATTACATTATCATAATCGTTTTACTTAGTAATATATATTAGATTTCAATAAGTCGATTCAAAGCAAAACGATGTAATATTGTAACGAATTCTCGTTCAATAACTGAAACTGGTCAGTCTCTTTTTGGCATATGTGCATACTGTGTGTAATGCCTCGATATAGCTTTATTTCACAAGCATTGTAAGAAAAGATGAATAGTGTCTAGCAGTGGAATCCAGAAAGCGCGTTTCGTCCTACTTGGGATTCGTCAGTTGGATGTACATGCATCTCAGAGTTGATATTCACTTTGTGACTCGAACCCAGTACCTTTAGCACCAAATGCCATCTAGTTATCCACTCAGCTACTGAAGCGAAAAATACTAGGTTCGAGTCCCAGATTGAACATCAACTCTGAGATGCAGGTACATCCATTTGACGAGTCCCAAATAGGACGAAACGCTCGTCCTGGTTTCCAATGCTAGCCACTGTCTATCATTGCATATACTTTTTTGTGATAGTTCGTATACCATTCACAAGAGCTCTAGAGTAAATTAGATGGTTAGCATACAAAATCAGTCAAGTAAAATGATCATTAGTTTAAATAATTTGACATCACTTTCATTTTCATGACATATTAAATGATTGGAGCTAGTTAATAACAGTTACCTCAGACTGATAAATACCAAGCAGCTTAAGTTTGGGTCTTTTCATAGATCACCTCCAACCACTTAACATTCTTAATTCCTATTCTGGACATAAGTCTAGATTTTAATGCTTCTGAAGTCGAGTTATTATTATTATTATTATTATTATTATTATTATTATTATTATTATTATTAATGGCTTTATTCAATATTATAATCTGGTACAATATAGAATTCTCAGCACGAGTTATTTCAACAAGTTTTTTACCAAAAAAGGAAACCCGAAAAAACAAACAAACAAAAAAAAACAGAAATAAAATTTTAAAAAAAAGGTCTAGGAAAAACCGACTTTATACAAATTATCGAATTTGAGACATGCTTAAGAAGACAGGTTATTTACTAGGTCAACTCTAACAGCCTGTTCGTCACAAAGTAAATTTGCTAAGTAAGGTATTACAGAACTTTTATAGATTTGCTTGCGTGCATGGATTTTAATGTATTTACGTCTCGTTCTACCAGAAGATATACAAGGAGAAAGATATGAATGAAGCGGATGGTTAGTATCTGATAAGATAACACCTGCCAAGAGTTTGCAACACTTAAGATGTCTATCCACAAGCATATTAACAATGACTTCAAAAGATTCACCACATACCTTGCAAACCGCCTTCAGCATTCTACGCAAAATAGCAAAGTCTTTTCTCAAAAGCCCAGGAAAGAATAATGGAGAACAATATAAAATAATAGGTAATATGCAGGAATTTACAAATTGTAAGAGTAAATGGCGAGTAATCCCAAAAGCATGCAGCCTCTTTATGTAGTATGTCAAGCGGTAAACTTTTTTCGATAATAGTAAAACATGAGAAGACCAAGAAAGATCAGAGGAAAAAGTAACACCAAGATATTTGACCCTCGACACTGTGTTTATTAAGGAGTCTCCAATGGCACAAGCATTATGGGATCCCAACATAGAGTATAGGTTCTGTCCATGTCTCAAGCTAAAATTAACAGCTTGACATTTAGATGGATTGAGTAAGAGACCATTACCAACAGACCACCTTTCAATACGAGATAAAAACTCATTCATTTCTATAGGATGTAAGGAGGTAGAAATTGGCATACATACAGTGAGGTCGTCCGCATATTTTACAAAAGTGTTTTCTGTGGAAGATGGCAGATCATGCAAAAAGAAAGAGAAGAGCAGAGGTGAAAGAACAGCTCCTTGTGGCACACCTACAGTAGACAGTAGAGATGTTGAACACTTTCTTTCAAATACAGTGTACTGTTCTCTTCCAGAAAGGTAGGAGCGTAGCCAATTGGTTATCCAGCTGTCAGTGTCGATGCGAATCAGCTTGTTAAGTAAGAGATGTCTTGGAATAGAATCAAAAGCAGAAGTAAAGTCCAGAAAAGCGCATCTAACATACTTCTTACCCTTTTCCAACCCGAACACTATATTGTGATGCAGAACAGCAACGGCATCTAATGTGCTTCTTTTGCATTTGTAAGCAAACTGAAATGGATCACAGTACTCTTTTATTGAAGGTTGAAGTGGTTGTATCAGTAATTTTTCCATTATTTTGAGGAAAGGTGAGGTTATTGCAATGGGTCTAAGTTTCGCATTTTTATCACCAGAAGCTTTCTTAGGTATAGGGATTATCTTTATCTTTCTCCACATTTTCGGTAAGACATTAGTTGAGAAGGATCTGTTAAAGATATTTGTTAATGGATAACATAAAACATCAGCACATTTTTTAAAAAGGAGGTTTGGGATACCATCAGGTCCTAAACATTGAGATGAATTCAGAGACTGGAGACATTTCCGGACATCATTTTCAGTAAAACTGGGGACACAACTATTCTTCAAACCCTTGGATATAGGGAGCATGATGTCAGATGACTGATGAATAAAGGACTTATTTAAGTCACAAACATTTAGCTGGTTTTCGCTTCTAGTCTGCCTGTCCCCTGTAATTTCTTTAAAGAGTTTCCACATACTTGGAGAGCTTCTACAAGATAGGAGTTTTTGAGTGAACACACAGTTGAGACGTCTAATCTCTTGGTTTATTTGATCATTTAACTTACGAACTTCAATAGTGTTTTTCTCCTTGTACATCCTTTCTTTTACCCTCCGTAGTCGTTTTAGTTGTGGAGATGTAAGTCGATCAAAACTTAAAAAGAAGGTTTCGGTAGGACAGCAAATATCAAAACAGAATTTAAGATAAGAGGTAATAACATCCGTTGTGTTTTCTATTGAGTCATCTGTAAGTACTTCCCAGTTGGTCGTACGAAACATGTTATTCAGATTTTGTAAATTTTCTTCTGAGTAACTCCTATATATTACTTTTTTTGGTATGGAGTATGTGTGTACTCTTTCCATGTTTACCATATACTTTAGGCAGGACACGAATTATACAGTGATCCGAACTAGACAATGGAGCACGTTTGCGAGTCACATAGGCACCCACATCATTAATGAAAACCAAGTCTAGATGAGCATTCAAACGAGTAGGAAAATCTACTACATTTAGGTGACCTAGTGATATAAGGAAGCTACAGTCACATGAATTGAAATCACCACATACAATTGAAAGTGAATCACTGAAGGCAGTAACGGCGAATTCAGTAAATTTATCAGTGAAGACAGATAGCGCAGATGATGTGCAATCTGGAGTCATGTAGATATTGGTAACATAAATATATTTGTATTTATTCAGGTGTTTTGGACGGCACCTTAAAGTTAGACAGTCAATAAAGTCGTTTGAAAACTTGAAACAGGCAAAAGTAGATCGACACCAGTTAACGTTTACAAAAGTAGCTACTCCGCCACCACAAGTCTTTTTATTGTTTGATCGATCCTGACGATAGATATTAAAATCACGTAATGACACTAAGCAATCATCCTGTAAGTCAGTTAACCAAGATTCTTGAATTGTGATGACACCACAATTACGATACATGTTTTGACTTAGCAGAAATTGGAGATAGTCCACCTTGTTAATTAGTGATCGACAGTTAGAGTTAAGTAGCTCGGGAATCGACATTTGATTGATGTTTATTCTCTTTAAAGCATATTGCCAACCACCACGATGTCTCTTATTGTGCTTGTTTGTAATTTTTGCAGCGAAAGGACGTAAGCTTTTTATAAACGCGCCTGTGTAGGTTATGCGATTAATAGACATAATGATAGGTTAAAACAAATTTTAAAAAAAACCAGATAACTTGTTGAAATATTTAGATGGCAGAAACAGGTAGCCCAGGTATTCAAGCAGGCCGCCTCAGGCCTCAGGCCGCCGAGTTATTGTATAGAAAACATTTTTATTCTTCACAAAAATAAGAGAATAGATGATGATCAAATATCAGTTCATAAATGATTTAAGCAAGCTTTGTTGTTTCATTCTTTTCATAACTTCATAACAATATATATGAAAATTTGAATTCAAATTGATCATTGACTTTTACCAGTATTGTGGTGAGGTCTACTTATATCCATATAATTAGTATATGGTGAGGGTCAGACATATGTATGTATTTTGGCGGATTGTCGATAAGGAACGAAGAGAAATGAAGCCCAATCGGTAAGAAAATGCATGAACAATGGAATCAGAGAAGAAGGACTGATAATAGCAGAAGGAACAGTTAAGATAGAGACTATTGATTGTTATTTTGCAAATTAATTGTTCACTGTATGGTTATCATAATTTAGTGAGATAGACTGTAATTTGTGCTTAAATACATTCGATTGCTCCCAACTAGTGTTCTCATTCACTACAGTATTATTGTGCGTTTCATAAGTTATTTATAGGAAGCTGTTGAATATTGTTCAATTCCACAGCTCACATCAAAAAATAGCATTTGTTAGGTAGCCATTAAAAAGTAGAAAGCATTGGACAGATATTTCTACCTAATCTAAGACCTTTAAGTAGTGCATACCTAAGAATTCACCAGGGTTCGAAATCATGACAACAGCCATCGGAATATCATGCAAACGACACAGAGAAAAAAGAAAGGACATCCTTAAAAAGGAAATAATCAAAATCGCAAAGCCAACTATAGAAGAAAACACAAACAACTGCGTGATCAACCTACCAAAACAACCACTAACAAACATAGAGGAACGCCTACTCCGAAAGGGATTTAACCACAATACAAGAGACACCTCAAAATGTAGACTTCTTCGAAGCACTAGAGTCATCACTCAAAACTTCCAGAATAAGTGAGGAAACGCAACAAGATTCACCAGGTTTTCAGATTCAGGATATTTTGTGTAGTAATAATGAATGGGCGAGACTATAATTTATGGACGACCTTTAACGAATCTTAAGTGACCTTGAGAAATGTTAGTCAATCAGTAAACAGTAAGCATAGAGTAAAATATATTATACAACACCGAAGAATTAAAGTGGATACACTTCTTTTATATGATACAAAAAGTTATCGAAGTTAGAAAAAGATTCAAAGGTTCCAAAATCATAATTCATAAGGTATAAGAACACATCCATATGGCACCATAATAGTTGGTCTCTGGAGCCATGATAAGGTCACAAAAACCCTCTCAGACTCGACCACATGGCTTCATTATTGTTTGTGTGTACTCCTGTTGTGTAAGTTTATCATTTTTTATTATTGGATAAGTCCCTACAATACTCATACCACTGAACAGCCGAATCTTCAGTAACATCTGCGATTATTGCAGCCAATGTTACTGGTGCTCTTATTATACGGTTGGTGGCAATTATTATAATATGCCTTAATCTCAATCTGGATAGAGCGATAAGGATTCCTATTCTAGCAAACGTCTCACTTCAACATATAATACATCGAAGGATAACATCTACACAAGGTCTACAAGTCATTTAATACTCGTAATTATAAACACAGCAACTTCTTAGTAGTTTCATTTGTTGTAGCCGCTTAATTATCAAGTCTTCTCTAAAATTCTCTGTGAACCGATTGTTCATGAGCATCAGGTACTGAAATAGGCGCCGTGATCTTGAAATCCCTCAAACGCTTTTGATTGGCTTGTCCATAAACTATAGTCTCGCCGTTTCAAGTCTTTTTTATGGTAATTCATTTTCCCACATAAAAGTTAACCTTAATCGACCAGTATTAAAGAAGAGTAAAGGTTGTTTTTGTTTTAAATAATTGAACATTAAAAACATTTATCATACAAATTTAATTAACATGAAATTTGATCATTGATGACTAAAAGAAATGACAAAAATAAAATAGATTTTCTATATTGACTATCGGGAAATAAACCTCAGAAGTGAAAACGGGAGGAGAATAGAGTGGAAAAGTAGTAGTATGTAGAACAATCTTGTTTTATGATGATTGTTTCAACATCTTCAATGGTTTATCTATCTATCTATCTATCTCTTTCCGGTTCTTTTTCATTCCTTTGCTCACTTTCCTTTATCTTATACATGCAAACACACACACACACACGCACAAGCAAAATAAATAAAGATGGATACTTTCTTTCATAAGGTTTTGTTTACTATTTCCAAATTCGAACAAAATTATTGTTATTGAATACCAAACATTAAAGACGACAACAAGAGTATGTAATAATGATATCATAATAAGGAAGAGCAAAAAAGAGAGACAAAAATGGAAAGCAGTACCATTTAGTAGAAGATAATCAGGTCAAACTAAAGATAGAAAAAAACGGTAAGAACAACAAAGACTAATTTATAACACGAATAGTGTAATAAAAAAAAAGGATAATGACAGCAGAAATAAGCACACACACACACACTTACAAATGCTGACAAAAACAACTTTTCGGTTTATTACCATTCCAATTTGTGCTTTTCTTTATGCATACAGTCAATTGTTTATTTCCTTTTTACCGGTTGTTGTAATTACTGTTTTTATTTTTTTTATTTTTTTGGGGGTGGGGTGGGGTGGGGTGGGGTAAAATAACAGGTTTTCTTTTTCTTATTTTTTTATTCAGATATCTTAGGAGTAAACAAATAAATAAGTTGGTTGACATATATATATTTCTCTCTCTCTCTCTCGATATACCTTTAATCCCTAGTGATTAAATTGATGAACTAATAATTGTTAATAAGTTTAAACATAAAAGTAAAAGTAAATAGAAGCGAAATAATTACGGTTTAGTTTAAAGTTTAATATCAAGTGAGGTAGAATAAACAAATTGTTTAATGTTTTAACTAACTAACTCACTCACTCACACTTATGACTATCATCAGTTTATTGCTGATGTACGAATATGTATCCGAGTGTTAGTGTGTATGTATTTCAAGTTAGATTGATGTATTGAAGTAAAGAAATACATGAAATTTTCCAAATTATTCACTTACTCACAACTTCTTAATTCGTGTTCTGTTTATCTCGTCTTTCTATTATTCAGAGTCTATTTAGTTTCCTCATAGTTAAAATCATGTGTCGATTGAAGCTAGACCACCATAGAAAACCTGGAAACACTGAATTGCCGTTTCGTCCTATTGTAGGACTCTTCAGCAGTGCGTGTCCACGATCCTGCCACGCAAGATTAGAAACCAGGACCTACCAGTCTCGCGCCAGAACATTTAACCTCAGGTCAGCATCAAACGGTGCTAATGTCTAACTTCAACTAATCCACGAAGTCTGAGCAACAGTTCACCAACTGTCTTCAGTGAGTTGATATCTCACAACAGACCTGGTTGAACTCCCCTGATCACTGTTTATCACTAGAATTCCAGGAAATATCTCTTGAAGTCAGCCACTAGTGAGCATATGATTATAGATCAGAAGAATTTGGTTGTAATTTCAGTATTTACATAGTTGAAATCATAAGTCAATTGAAGCCAGACCACCACGAAAAACCTGGAAGCACTGGACGACCGTTTCATCCTATTGTGGGACTTCTCAGCAGCTTCAATTGACTTATGATTACAACTATGCAAATACTGAAATCTCCACAAAACCCCTTTATGATCTATAATCATATGCTCACTAGTGACTAACTTCAAGGGATGTTTCCTAGTGGGAAATAAACAAAACTTAACAAGTTAATTAGTTTTAACTATAATGATGTTGTGTAGATAAGTAGTTTAATTATTGTTGTCATCTTCAATAATGAAAGATTTAATGGATAAGATATAATGAAAAAGATAAATTAAGACAAGTAATAGTAATTAGAATTTTAATTATGTCAATGAAAGTAAAAAAATGACATTGTCAAGTTGATCGTTTCCAAGTAAATCACTGAGAATTTTGTGTTTTTTTTACATTTTTCTTGAAGTATAGAAAAATTGTATATGAACAAAGATGAATAATGGCTGGCGGTGGAATTCAAGACACGCGTAGAGTTTACTGCTAGCCACTATCCATTTTTCCTTAGAAAGCTTGTGATTTCAGGGAATATTGAGGCAGTCTGCATAGGATGCACATATGCCAAAAATAGATTGATCAATTTCAGTCTAAAATAACGGTGGGATGATTCAAGTAAACAACAACAAGTGAATTAAAACTTCACCCCATTGCACAAGCAGGTAGTTTTCAGGACTCAGTAGCTGAGTGGATAACGCGATGGTGTTTAATGCGAAAGTTACTGGGTTGGAGTCCTAGAGTGAACATGAACTGTGAGATGTATGTACATCCAGCTGGCGAGTCACAAATAGGACAAAACGCACGCCAAACTGGATTTCAATGCTAGCTACTATTCATCTTTGCTTATAAAGCTTGTAACTTCAGGCAATATTGATGCAGTCCATATAGGATGAAAAGTAATTTTATAATAAACTACTTAAAGTTGATTGATCACTGTGTGATGATCAATGTCATGTATATCACATCCTTCTTAGTGAAGATTGAATCCTATCGATCAAGTTACAATGTGGTCACTAGTCTGGGTGACTCAATATTGAGTGCACTTACAATAAACTACTTCAGGAAATAATGATTGTGCACAAACGAAATAAACATAGTTCTACTGGGATGATTTGACTTATCAAGTAAAAACGTTGAGTATTACTTCAAAATTATTGTTT